AATAAAGATTACATTACATTACATACACATGACTGTAGATGAACACATGACTGTAGATGAACACATGACTGAGGTGAACACATGACTGTAGGTGAACACATGACTGTAGATGAACACATGACTGTAGATGAACACATGACTGTAGGTGAACACATGACTGTAGGTGAACACATGACTGTAGATGAACACATGACTGTAGGTGAACACATGACTGTAGGTGAACACATGACTGTAGATGAACACATGACTGTAGGTGAACACATGACTGTAGGTGAACACATGACTGTAGGTGAACACATGACTGTAGGTGAACACATGACTGTAGATGAACACATGACTGTAGGTGAACACATGACTGTAGGTGAACACATGACTGTAGGTGAACACATGACTGTAGGTGAACACATGACTGTAGGTGAACACATGACTGTAGATGAACACATGACTGTAGGTGAACACATGACTGTAGATGAACACATGACTGTAGATGAACACATGGCTATCTTCATTCAGCTCAATGTGCAATAATTATTGATGATGTGCTATATAAATAACCTTGTAGCAGTGTCACAGGAAACACAGAAATAACTGAGTGACTGTGTTTCCGTCGGTGATGATCAAAGACTCTGAGTGTTCTTCCTGCTGCAGAATTGTGCAACAGCAACTGTCAGGCTTTCTACAGCTGCAGCAGCTACTGTCAGGCTTTCTACTGCTGCAGCAGCAACTGTCAGGCTTTCTACTGCTGCAGCAGCTACTGTCAGGCTTTCTACTGCTGCAGCAGCTACTGTCAGGCTTTCTACTGCAGCAGCAGCAACTGTCAGGCTTTCTACTGCTGCAGCAGCAACTGTCAGGCTTTCTACTGCTGCAGCAGCAACTGTCAGGCTTTCTACTGCTGCAGCAGCTACTGTCAGGCTTTCTACTGCTGCAGCAGCAACTGTCAGGCTTTCTACTGCTGCAGCAGCTACTGTCAGGCTTTCTACTACTGCTGTCAGGCTTTTTACTGCTGCAGCAGCTACTGTCAGGCTTTCTACTGCTGCAGCAGCTACTGTCAGGCTTTCTACTGCTGCAGCAGCAACTGTCAGGCTTTCTACTGCTGCAGCAGCAACTGTCAGGCTTTCTACTGCTGCAGCAGCTACTGTCAGGCTTTCTACTGCTGCAGCAGCAACTGTCCATCTCGAGCTACACCCCCACACTTCACGTCCTCACACTCTGACTCTATAGAATTGTCTGTTTTACTTACTAGACTTACTAGACTTACTAGACGGAATAGACTTTGAGAGACTATTCCGACGGATGAGGCTCAGACACAGAGGGAGTAACGTGTGGATGCTTGGTTTAGTTCTACTTCTTGTTTGTCAAGAGTCAATCAGTCCCTTTAAACGTGGCACCTGGTGTTCCCAGAGGTCTCCCATCACAACACTAACCAGGCCCTGCTGGAACAAACACATATAAAAACTGATGTTTGGATGAGGCTGAAGCAGAAGCAGCTCTTTGTCAGACAATATCTACAGACTTCATTATGTAGAGTTCATTAAAGATGTGGAACAGAACAGTTAAGTTTATGTTCAAATCAAAAGCTCCATCATCCTCACGCTAGCATCACAAGCTACATTTAGTTTGTATATATATATATATAAATTATATATATATATATATATATATATATATATATATATATATATATATATCGATATATTTATATATATATAGCATCACAAGCTACATTTAGTTTGTATATATATATAAATAAATTATATATATATATATATATAGCATCACAAGCTACATTTAGTTTGTATATATATATAAATAAATAATATATATATATATATATATATATATACCATCACAAGCTACATTTAGTTTGTATATATACTGTATATTTGGTGAACTTTGGTGAATGCCGTGGTGTTGTACCATTCAGAGACACTAATATTGTTGTGTAACACAGTACTTTGAAAACACAGTTGTTTATATTGGATCTTTTATGTTTTGAATGATTTTGATCGTTTTAGTGTTATGTAGTACTTTACACACACACAAACACACACACACACACCCACACACACACGCAAATCTGTAATCCAGGACGAAAATAGGCCTGGAGTGAGTAAGCCAGCTGCACCTGCACATCCACACCTCCACACAGGTGTCAGGAAGTCACACACACGTACACACACACATACATACACACACACACACACATGTACACACATACACACACGCACAGGAAGGCAGAGGAGTCCCACCGCAGTCACAGATTCAGATTCACATGAGCTGATGTGGGACACAGTCACCACAAATGGAACAACACACAACTCATCGGAAAATAGAAAATACTCAAATACATGAAAAGCATCAACCGCTGCTGCAACGACTGCTCATGATGATGTGAGGTCGTCGGTCTTCCCCCTGAGGCCGGCCTCACCTGGTCCAGACTCAGACCAGTTCAAGTCTCAGGTCCCTCTGCAGCAGTTTGGATCAGCATAGTGGGCCACACTTTAACCAACAAGCTGCAGGCCGTCAGTCTGCTCTCTCTATGGTCTCTATTCTGTCTCTTTCTGGTCTCTCCCTGGTCCCTCTCTCTGGTCTCTCTGGTCTATCTCTGGTCCCTCTCTGGTCTCTCTCTGGTCTCTATCCTGTCTGTCTCTGGTCTCTCACTGGTCTCTTTCTGGTCTCTCGCTTGTCTCTCTCTGGTCCCTCTCTCTGGTCCCTCTCTGGTCTGTCTCTGGTCTCTCAGTGGTCTGTCTCTGGTCTCTCTCTGGTCTCTCTCCTGTCCCTCTCTTGTCTCTCTCTGGCGGCACGGTGGCTGAGTGGATAGCACTCTCGAGTGGATAGCACTCCACACCCTCTCAGCAAGAAGGTCCTGGGTTCGAATCCCGGTCGGACCAGGGCCTTTCTGAGTGGAGTTTACATGTTCTCCCCGTGTCTGCGTAGGTTTCCTCCGGGTGCTCCGGTTTCCCCTACCACTAAAAACATGCACAATAGGTCTGGCATGCGCCTCTTGTTCGGCGACCCCGCTCCCATCTCTGTGTGGAGTGAGAGGACAAGTGCCCAAAAATAACAATTGTAAACCGCTTTGTGACTCTGGTCTGTGAAAGGCGGTATATAAATAAAGCTTACTTACTACTTACTTACTTACTCTGGTCCCTCTCTGGTCCCTCTCTGGTCTCTCTCTGGTCTCTGAGTGTCAGGTCATGGTGTGTAGAGAGGTTGACACTTTGAGTTATAATAATATAATCTTGTGATTTGTTCAGGCTCTAATCCATAAGAATCAACATTAAAACAATAACTTTCCATTTAGTCACGTTTCCACCATTCCATAAATCGGTTTCAAACGTAGATAAATGAGTCTGTGAGATGACAGAAGCGTCGGGTTGTGGAGTGTGGCGCCCTCTTCTGCTCACTCTGAAGTACTGCACTCTACGGACTTGTCAGATGTAGTTTGTTTATTAGTTATAGCACACATTGTTGTAGCTGATAAACAAACACAAACATACATGGATGAAGATAAACACGTGTGACTTTTATAGATGTTCTGTTTTTGTTATTCGATAAGGTGCACTCAAAAACACATTGGTGTAAAAACTACTAATCAAATTGTTGAGATTGACCAATGAGCCTCCTGTGGGACTATGACTAAAGTAGAAAACATGGCTGCAACTGGTACTATTCACCTCCACAAGTTATGTATGTGTATGTGGCGCCCCCTGCAGGTGAAAGCTTGGTCTTGTCAAACCTCAGAAGGGAAGCAGGACAGGGCCTGATTGTGCCGTGACAAGACCCTGGTCTCCAAGGTCTGCTCATGGTCTCCAAGGTCTGCTCCTGGTCTCCAAGGTCTGCTCCTGGTCTCCAAGGTCTGCTCCTGGTCTCCATGGTCTGCTCATGGTCTCCATGGTCTGCTCATGGTCTCCAAGGTCTGCTCATGGTCTCCAAGGTCTGCTCCTGGTCTCCAAGGTCTGCTCCTGGTCTCCATGGTCTGCTCATGGTCTCCATGGTCTGCTCATGGTCTCCATGGTCTGCTCATGGTCTCCATGGTCTGCTCCTGGTCTCAAAGGTCTCCTCCTGGTCTCCATGGTCTTTCCATGGTCTCCAAGGTCTGCTCATGGTCTCCAAGGTCTGCTCCTGGTCTCAAAGGTCTGCTTATAGATGATTTCTTATAGATTTGATTCAAAAGATCAGTCCGACACACAACTATAAACTGGGTGAGTTACATTTCACCAGTTTTCGGTCGTTTTAACCCATCTGGGATCAGAGAGTAGGTCTTGGGACTGAACAAAACCAAACATTCCTCTTTGCAGTTTTAGATTGTACATATAGTAAAATAAAAATAATGCCCTATGGTCTAAGTCTACATGCTCTCTCTGAGTGTCTGCAGTTAGAGCTCAGAGTGACTTCATTGTGTGTCTATACTGCTCATTGTGTGTCAATTATTCTCCACAGTGGGGAAATGTCAGTGTTGCATCAGTAGTTCCCGAACAGTAGAATGAGGAGGACACAGCACAAGATCAATGAACAATAACTTTGCACTCAAATGAAATCCAATATCTAACTTTAGCAGAAAAAAGAACCAAATGTGCAGTGTCAAATTCAAAAGTGAAAGTAAATCAGAAGCAGAGGCAGTGTGGCTCTGTGGGTCCAGAGTCTACTTTATTGTGATGTCACATGACTTCCATCCCATGTGACACAGGTTCCTTTGCATTCGTGACCTGGTCCCCACACTGCAGAGACCCTAGAGCCCGTCAGACTGGTCCCCACACTGCAAAGACCCTAGAGCCCGTCAGACTGGTCCCCACACTGCAGAGACCCTAGAGCCCGTCAGACTGGTACCCCACACTGCAGAGACCCTAGAGCCCGTCAGACTGGTCCCCACACTGCAGAGACCCTAGAGCCCGTCAGACTGGTACCCCACACTGCAGAGATCCTAGAGCCCGTCAGACTGGTCTCCACACTGCAGAGATCCTAGAGCCCGTCAGACTGGTCCCCACACTGCAGAGACCCTAGAGCCCGTCAGATTGGTCCTGAGCCTCGGGCCCCAGGGGACAGCTGACCCCGGTCCCTTTCATTGGACAGGTTCCTTTGGGAGTCTTCTTCAGGTACTGTTGGTGATGGTCCTCAGCGTAGAAGAAGAGAGTGAGCTCAGAGATGTGTGTGGTAATGGAACCCAGGCCACGAGACAGCAGCTCCTGGACACACACACACACACATACACACACGCACACACACACAGTTTAAAGTTAGAAAGTGTACATTGTTCCACGTGGGTGACAACCTTGCAATAGTCTAGTGCATGGGTGTCAAAGGCTGCGGTCACATGCGCAGTCTAAAGCCCGGTCAAAGTGTGCCAGGGCCCGCTTCGCAGTTTGATCCGGGCTTTAGGTGCCATGTGACCGCTGCATTCGCGCCAGAGCATGATTCCTGGAATCGGTGTGGTGAGGACTTGATATTGTGCGTCACATTACGTCTTCCGTTGTGACGTGCATTTTCACACACTCTCCCTGCACTTTCGTATTCTCCGCTGTGTTGAACCTTTCCTAAAAGGAGGGGCGCAGGAGGAGGGTGTGTCGCTGCAGGGCCAAGAAAAGCGTTTCCTACAAGAATAACTCCCTCTGTCCTGACCCTTGCTCTCAGTGTGGTGCTATTGTGATAATACTTCAGACAAGAATCAAGAATCAGTCTTTATTTAATCACCAGAACACAAACAAACACACACACACTTCAATCATTTCTCAGCGCTCTTACGCTCGTTGCTAAAGCGAGTGTGTGTGTGTGCACTCGTGTCCTCACACACACACTCACACACACACGTGTGCATTCACATGTTACCACATGTTACCCACTGAACTGCTGCACTTTGCATCAGAGCAATTTGGACAAGTGTGAGATGTATCTTTCCCTAAACAACGCGATCCGTACTGAGCTGTTAGCTACTCTAGCTGTAGCTGTTAGCTGTTAGCTACAGACTTGTCCCCACACTGCAGAGACCCTAGAGCCTGTCAGACTGGTCACGGTTCAGACAACACGGTTCATGTGACCGCGGGCCGTTTTCAGACCCCTGTGGCGACGCTCCGGGCCACTTGTCCCCGTTCGTTTGTAAAAACCTATGTGACCGTGTCCAAAGTCAAGGCCCGGGGGCCAGATCCGGCCCACGGGATGATATTTTATTAGCATTATAACCGGCCGCACAGAGCCATAAGAGAATATTATTCATTTACATTTCAGGACAGTTTTGTCTTTTAAGGAAGTTTGTTTTTTGTCTGTGAGCCTGTTGAAAAAATGTTTTCAACTGAAATGGCAAATATTGCATTATTCATTTAATCATTATATAAAATAAGGTCCACTGTGTTAGCTCCTGGTTCATTAGGTTATAGGCATCATTGTAATATGTTTTAATAAGCATTGAAGCAGTCCGGGCCTCGGCTTGTAGCAAATTGTTTTTTTGGCCTCTGCTGAATTTGACTTTGACATCCCTGGTCAAGTGATTTTCTCTGGTCTCTCTCTGGACTCTCTCTCTGGTCTCTCTCTCTGGACTCTCTCTCTCTGGTCTCTCTCTCTGGTCTCTCTCTCTCTGGTCTCTCTCTCTCTGGTCGCTCTCTCTGGTCTCTCTCTCTGGTCTCTCTCTCTCTCTGGTCTCTCTCTCTCTGGTCTTTCTCTCTGGACTCTCTCTCTCTGGTCTCGCACTCTCTGGTCTCTCTCTCTCTGTCTAGTCTCTCTCTCTACTCTCTCTCTCTGGTCTCTCTCTGGTCTCTCTCTCTGGACTCTCTCTCTGGTCTCTCTCTTTCTGGTCTCTCTCTCTGGACTCTCAATATCATTAATTATTATTATTATTATTTTCACAAAAAAATGTAGTTTTTAGAGTCTCATTTCAAGGAACCAGCTCAAAAACTCTCAAAGGCTGAATTGAGTGGTCAGTGTGAGAAGCGCGCAGCCGCAGTGTGCGTGTGTGTCCGCCAGGTGGTGCTGCAGCCTCGCTCTCTGACTCTCTCTTAGGCGCACACGGAGAATGTCGCTGGTATTCACAGCAGACGCACAGTTACGTTTCCGAACAGATTCATGGAGTGAATGTGGAATAATGTATCATTCTGCAGATCCAAACTAATATCCATCAGATATTCATCAGATATTAGTGACATATGAACCAACTGTGACTCTGGCCTCCTGCTGGTCCCGGAGTCAGGACTAAACATGGGGACTAAGGACGGAGCATTTCAGGTTGATGCAGCTCAAATGTGGAGCAGTCTTCCTGAAAATGTGAGACAGGCTTCTTCCCTGACAATGTTTAAATCCAGGTGAAAAGCAGTGCTGTTTCGCTGTGACATTGTGTTTTATTATGTTGTTCATGTATGTTGTGTGCTCCTCATCCTGCTGTTGTGTAACTGCAACACTGACATTTCCCCTCTGGCTGTGGGTCCGGGGAAGGATCTGTAGAAATAGGACAATTGCTAAATAATCTTTGGGAAATGGTAACACCGACGCAGACGCTTCAAATCCACCTCAAAACTCATCTGTTCAGACCTAAACCTGCTCACGGACACCAGAACCACGGACACAAGACCTACTGACAACAGAACCACTGACACCAGAACCAGGAACACCAGAACCACGGACACCAGAACTACTGACAACAGAACCACGGACACCAGAACCACGGACACCAGAACCACGGACACAAGACCTACTGACAACAGAACCACGGACACCAGAACTACTGACAACAGAACCACTGACACCAGAACCAGGAACACCAGAACCACGGACACCAGAACTACTGACAACAGAACCACGGACACCAGAACCACGGACACCAGAACTACTGACAACAGAACCACTGACACCAGAACCAGGAACACCAGAACCAGGAACACCAGAACCACTGACACCAGAACCACGGACACCAGATCCACGGACACCAGAACTACTGACAACAGAACCACGGACACCAGAACTACTGACAACAGAACCACGGACACCAGAACCACGGACAGCAGATCCACGGACACCAGAACCAATGACACCAAAACCATGGACACCAGAACCACGGACACCAGAACCACAGACACCAGAACCACGGACACCAGAACCACGGATACCAGAACCATGGACACCAGAACTACTGAAAACAGAACCACGGACACCAGAACCACGGACAGCAGAACCACGGACACCAGAACTACTGACACCAGAACTACTGACAACAGAACCACGGACATCAGAACCACGGACACCAGATCCACGGACACCAGGTCCACGGACACCAGAACTACTGACACCAGAACCACGGACACCAGAACCACTGACACCAGAACCACAAACACCAGAACCACTGACACCAGAACCACGGACACCAGAACAACGGACACCAGAACCACTGACACCATAACCACTGACACCAGAACTACTGACAACAGAACCACCGACACCAGAACCATGGACACCAGATCCACGGACACCAGAACTACTGACAACAGAACCACGGACACCAGAACTACTGACAACAGAACCCCTGACACCAGATCCACGGACACCAGAACTACGGACACCAGAACCACGGACACCAGAGCCACGGACACCAGAACCACTGACACCAGAACCACAGACACCAGAACCACTGACACCAGATCCACGGACACCAGATCCACGGACACCAGAACTACTGACAACAGAACCACTGACACCAGAACCAGGAACACCAGAACCAGGAACACCAGAACCACTGACACCAGAACCACTGACACCAGAACCACGGACACCAGATCCACGGACACCAGAACTACTGACAACAGAACCACGGACACCAGAACCACGGACAGCAGATCCACGGACACCAGAACCAATGACACCAAAACCATGGACACCAGAACCACGGACACCAGAACCACAGACACCAGAACCACGGACACCAGAACCACGGATACCAGAACCATGGACACCAGAACTACTGAAAACAGAACCACGGACACCAGAACCACGGACAGCAGAACCACGGACACCAGAACTACTGACACCAGAACTACTGACAACAGAACCACGGACATCAGAACCACGGACACCAGATCCACGGACACCAGGTCCACGGACACCAGAACCACGGACACCAGAACTACTGACAACAGAACCCCTGACACCAGATCCACGGACACCAGAACTACGGACACCAGAACCACGGACACCAGAGCCACGGACACCAGAACCACTGACACCAGAACCACAGACACCAGAACCACTGACACCAGATCCACGGACACAGAACCACTGACACCATAACCACGGACACCAGAACTACTGACAACAGAACCCCTGACACCAGATCCACGGAAACCAGAACCACGGACACCAGAACTACTGACACCAGAACCACTGACACCAGAACCACGGACACCAGAACCATTGACACCAGAACCACAGACACAAGATCCACGGACGCCAGAACCACTGACACCAGAACCACAGACACCAGCACCACGGATACCAGAACCACAGACACCAGAACCACTGACACCAGAACCATTGACACCAGAACCACTGACTCCAGAACCACGAACACCAGAACCACTGACACCAGAACCACGGACACCAGAACCACGACACCAGAACCACAGACACCAGAACCACGGACACCAGATCCACGGACACCAGAACCACGGACACCAGAACTACTGACAACAGAACCCCTGACATCAGATCCACGGACACCAGAACCACGGACACCAGAACTACGGACACCAGAACCACGGACAGCAGATCCACGGACACCAGAACCATGGACACCAGAACCACGGACACCAGAACCACGGACACCAGAATCACGGACAGCAGATCCACGGACACCAGAACCACTGACACCAGAACCACGGACATCAGAACCACGGACACCAGAACCACGGACACCAGAACCCCTGACACCAGAACCACTGACACCAGAACCACTGACACCAGGACCACGGACACCAGAACCGCAGATACCAGAACCACGGACACCAGATCCACGGACACCAGAACTACTGACACCAGAACCACGGACACCAGAACTACTGACAACAGAACCACGGACACCAGAACCACGGACACCAGAGCCACAGACACCAGAACCACTGACACCAGAACCACTGAAACCAGAACCACGGACACCAGAACCACTGACACCAGAACCACGGACACCAGAACAACTGATACCAGAACCACGGACACCAGAAACACGGACACCAGAACCACTGATACCAGAACCACGGACACCAGAAACACGGACACCAGAACCACTGATACCAGAACCACGGACACCAGAACCACACTATCCTCTGTTCATGCTGCTTCAACTGTATTTTAACTGTATCTTAACATAAGTTTTAAGTGTATTTTAACTAAAAGTCTTTTTTCCTGTCTGTAGGTGACCTTGGGTGTCTAGAAAGTGTTTATTTTTATTTTTTATCTTAATCTGAGTTCATTCTGACTGTGTAAAAACAAGATTCTCCAATGGGACGAAGTCAATTAGTTTTACCACAAGAACTGTTGATTTTTTTCCTCATTCCAAGGGAGATTTTTTTTTGCATATTTTTAAAACAAGATAATTTTGCTTTCAAATGAAGCATTTTTTGCCTTATTTTTCATCACTTTTTGCAGTGTAGACCACAGATATATGAAATAAACATATAAATTTTTACAGTGTAGACCACAGATATATATGAAATAAACATATATATTTTTGCAGTGCGGTGCTCGGCCTCGGCGGTGTGTGTGACTCGGCTCTCGTGCCTCAGCAGCGGCGGCCATTTTAGAAGTGTATAAATCAGAATGCACCGCGTCACCCCCACATGCTATAACCTTATGTGGCTCACTGCAGCAGGAGAGAGGGGGGAGGTGAGGGGGTGAGGAGGGGGGGAGGTGAGGGGGAGGTGGGCACGTGCTCCCTACGAACCAATGCACATATGTGGAGGCGCGATGCATGACACAGCCGCTCCAGCGCAAGAGTCTGACTGGAAATGACACACAGAGAGAGACGCTACAGAGAGACAGAGATAATGTCTATTTTTAGAGATTTAGAGATCTGAGGTTTCTGGACTGACCGAGGTCTGAGGTCCACAGAACAGGTCTGAGGTCCACCTTAGACTGGACGCTGTGGCTTTAAGAACACATAAGCCCTGTTTCCACCAGCCACATCTTGGCCCTATACTCTGCTCTACTCTACCCTACTCTACTCTACTCTACTCTACTTTACTCTACTCTACTCTACTCTGCTCTGCTCTGCTCTGCTCTGCTCTGCTCTACTCTGCTCTACCTCACTCTTACTCAATGGCTCCTTTTTGTTGTCGTCGTCAGTTCTCATAATATCTTTCTGTTCTAGACCCTGGTTTCAAAAATGTGTGTTTTTAGAGCTCCAGCTTAGTGAGGGTGATGCACCGGATCACTCTCTGGTCTCTCTCTGGTCTCTCTCTCTGGTCTCTCTCTGGTCTCTCTCTATGGTCTCTCTCTGGTCTCTCTCTCTGGTCTCTCTCTGGTCTCTCTCTGGTCTCTCTCTATGGTCTCTCTCTGGTCTCTCTCTATGGTCTCTCTCTGGTCTCTCTCTGGTCTCTCTCTGGTCTCTCTCTGGTCCCTCCCTGGTCTCTCTCTGGTCTCTCTCTGGTCTCTCTCTGGTCCCTCCCTGGTCTTTCTCTGGTCTCTCTCTATGGTCTCTCTCTGGTCTCTCTCTGGTCTCTCTCTATGGTCTCTCTCTGGTCTCTCTCTGGTCTCTCTCTGGTCTCTCTCTATGGTCTCTCTCTGGTCTCTCTCTCTGGTCTCTCTCTGGTCTCTCTCTATGGTCTCTCTCTGGTCTCTCTATGGTCTCTCTCTCTGGTCTTTCTCTCTTGTCTCTCTCTGGTCTCTCTCTGGTCTCTCTCTGGTCCCTCCCTGGTCTCTCTCTGGTCTCTCTCTATGGTCTCTCTCTGGTCTCTCTATGGTCTTTCTCTGATCTCTCTCTGGTCCCTCCCAGGTCTCTCTCTGGTTTCTGAGGTACATTAGACTATGAGGGCTTGTTTCTATGGTGCACATGTAGCTGTGGTGTTCATTTGCATTTTCATTTTAACTGCAGTCCTGGGTCTACAGTCTCAGTCCTGGGTCTACAGCCTCAGTCCTGGATCCACAGCCTCAGTCCTGGGTCTACAGTCTCAGTCCTGGGTCTACAGCCTCAGTCCTGGATCCACAGCCTCAGTCCTGGATCTACAGCCTCAGTCCTGGGTCTACAGCCTCAGTCCTGGATCTACAGCCTCAGTCCTGGATCTACAGCCTCAGTCCTGGGTCTACAGCCTCAGTCCTGGGTCTACAGCCTCAGTCCTAGATTTAAATTAATGCAGAAGTCTCTGATAAACACAGCTCCAGGTCTGTTTTTAATAAAGTAACCATTTTGTAACATTGTTAAAAACCCAGAAAGACCATGTGGAGCAGTTGAGTTTGCACATGGTAATTCTTAGAAAGTCCAAACTCAGGAGACAAACTGGTTTCTTATGTCGTACTTCATGTAAAAATGTCCAAAAGAGAGAGGGATACAGCGAGAGACGAGATCAAAGACTGGGAGAGCAGATTAAGAAGACAATGAGAGCCTCCTCCTCCTCCTCCTCTTCCTCTTCTGGTCTTGCTGCTGCCGCTGCTGATGGTTTGTTCTCAGATTAGCATCTAAAAATATGGAGATGGAGCAGGGATTTGAGGCCGTTCCTTCAGGGCCTTTCACCAAACTTTCTCAGAAACAGCTCAATCATGGGCTCCTCCTGAGACCGAGAGACTTCACTTCCTCTGGACTCAAGCGCTTTCTTCACAGACACTTTGTAGATCCCAGAAGGAGAGACTCAGAAACACATGGTCTCTCTCTGGTCTATCACTGGTCTCTCCTGGGTTTCTCTGAAGGTTCTCTCTGGTCTCTCGCTTGTATCTTTATGGTCTCTCTCAGCTTTTACTCTCTGGTCTCTTTCTGGTCTCACGTTGGTCTCTCCCTGGTCCCTTCATGGTCTCTCTGTGGTCTCTTGCTCTGGTTTCTCTCTGGTCTCTTTCTGGTCTCTCTGGTCTCTGTGGTCTCTCTCTGGTCTCTCTGGTCTCTTTCTGGTCTCTTTCTGGTCTCTTTCTGGTCTCTTTCTGGTCTCTTTCTGGTCTCTCTCTGGTCTCTTTCTGGTCTCTTTCTGGTCTCTCTGTATTTTTCAAAAAACATTAAAAAAAGATCCTTCCTCTGGTGGATTTCCTCTTGATCCTCTCGGTTGGACCATCGTCTCTGCTCTGGTCTGGACCAGTGTAAAACCATGAACACTAAACTCTAACATTTACTGGTAGAAAAAAGCTAAAAAAAACAAAAATTCCTGAGAACCATTTTTTTAGGTTAAGGTTGTTCCCGAGCTTTAAATGATGTTCCTTATGTTGCTCATGCACACTGGGTTTACCTGTGTCTGCTCCTCCTCTCTGCTCCTCCTCTGACCTCCTCTATGCTCCTCTGACCTCCTCTCTGCTCCTCTGTCCTCCTCTCTGCTCCTCTGTCCTCCTCTCTGCTCCTCTGTCCTCCTCTCTGCTCTTCTGTCCTCTTTTCTGCTCCTCCGACCTGCTCTCTGCTCCTCTGTCCTCCTCTCTGCTCCTCTGTCCTCCTCTCTGCTCCTCTGACCTCCTCTCTGCTCCTCTGACCTCCTCTCTGCTCCTCTGTCCTCCTCTCTGCTCCTCTGTCCTCCTCTCTGCTCCTCTGACCTCCTCTCTGCTCCTCTGACCTCCTCTCTGCTCCTCTGACCTCCTCTCTGCTCCTCTGTCCTCCTCTCTGCTCCTCTGTCCTCCTCTCTGCTCCTCTGTCCTCCTCTCTGCTCCTCTGTCCTCCTCTCTGCTCCTCTGTCCTCTTTTCTGCTCCTCTGACCTCCTCTCTGCTCCTCTGACCTCCTCTCTGCTCCTCTGTCCTCCTCTCTGCTCCTCTGTCCTCCTCTCTGCTCCTCTGACCTGCTCTCTGCTCCTCTGTCCTCCTCTCTGCTCCTCTGTCCTCCTCTCTGCTCCTCCGACCTCCTCTCTGCTCCTCTGTCCTCCTCTCTGCTCCTCTGACCTCCTCTCTGCTCCTCTGACCTCCTCTGACCTCCTCTCTGCTCCTCTGTCCTCCTCTGTCCTCCTCTGTCCTCCTCTCTGCTCCTCTGACCTCCTGACTGTTCCTCTGTCCTCCTCTCTGCTCCTCTGTCCTCCTCTCTGCTCCTCTGTCCTCCTTCTCTGCTCCTCTGTCCTCCTCTCTGCTCCTCTGTCCTCCTCTCTGCTCCTCTGTCCTCCTTCTCTGCTCCTCTGTCCTCCTCTCTGCTCCTCTGTCCTCCTCTCTGCTCCTCTGTCCTCCTCTCTGCTCCTCTGACCTGCTCTCTGCTCCTCTGTCCTCCTCTCTGCTCCTCTGTCCTCTTTTCTGCTCCTCTGACCTCCTCTCTGCTCCTCTGACCTCCTCTCTGCTCCTCTGTCCTCCTCTCTGCTCCTCTGTCCTCCTCTCTGCTCCTCTGACCTGCTCTCTGCTCCTCTGTCCTCCTCTCTGCTCCTCTGTCCTCCTCTCTGCTCCTCCGACCTCCTCTCTGCTCCTCTGTCCTCCTCTCTGCTCCTCTGACCTCCTCTCTGCTCCTCTGACCTCCTCTCTGCTCCTCTGACCTCCTCTCTGCTCCTCTGTCCTCCTCTGTCCTCCTCTCTGCTCCTCTGACCTCCTGACTGTTCCTCTGTCCTCCTCTCTGCTCCTCTGTCCTCCTTCTCTGCTCCTCTGTCCTCCTCTCTGCTCCTCTGTCCTCCTCTCTGCTCCTCTGTCCTCCTCTCTGCTCCTCTGTCCTCCTCTCTGCTCCTCTGTCCTCCTTCTCTGCTCCTCTGTCCTCCTCTCTGCTCCTCTGTCCTCCTCTCTGCTCCTCTGTCCTCCTTCTCTGCTCCTCTGTCCTCCTCTCTGCTCCTCTGTCCTCCTCTCTGCTCCTCTGTCCTCCTCTCTGCTCCTCTGACCTGCTCTCTGCTCCTCTGTCCTCCTCACTGCTCCTCTGTACTCCTTCTCTGCTCCTCTGTCCTCCTCTCTGATCCTCCTTCCCCTCCTTTCCACCTCCTTCACTCTCATTAGCATCAGTCGTCTCAGATGGCACAGTCCCTCTGCTCCTCTAACCTCCTCTTCACCTCCTCTTCACCTCCTTCTCTCTCATTAGCTGCGGTCTTCTCAGAGGCCTGTCTTTTGTTCACACGCTGCTCCAAACCCCCAAACCCCGACAAGGTTTCGCTCTGAGCCTCTCCGCTCGCTCCTAATCAACCCTCAGCACACCCCCCACCTCTCCCCCACCTCCCCCCCACCTCCCCCACCTCTCCCCCACCTCCCCCACCTCTCCCCCACCTCCCCCACCTCTCCCCCACCCCAGCCCGTCCCGCTCAGGGGAGAAGAGGGGAGAAGAGGGGGGAGGGTGGTGTTCGGATCCACGAGCCTTTGATGTTCTGCAAATTTCAAATTTCATTACAGCGCAGCCCTTCTTCTCCTCCTTCCTCCTCCTCCTCCTCCTCCTCCTCCTCCTCCCACCATCCACAGCCTCTCCTGCGTTTTAAACCACCCCCCCTCCTCCCCCCATCTCCCCCTCCTCCCCCATCTCCCCCTCCTCCCCCATCTCCCCCTCCTTCCCCCATCTCCAGCTCAAGTTGAGAAAGTGAAAGCCCCGCAGAAGAAGCTTGCGCTACATACGGGTTAATTATTCATGATGTAGAGCCTTCAGCTTCAGATTTATATTTATACAGCGAACCAAATGACTCTGTGTTTTTGGATCGGGCAAAAATGACTCTGTGTTTCCTCTGTGTTTTCTCTGTGTTTTCTCTGTGTTTCTCTGTGTTTTCTCTGTGTTTTCTCTGTGTTTTCTCTGTGTTTCTCTGTGTTTTCTCTGTGTTTTCTCTGTGTTTCTCTGTGTTTTCTCTGTGTTTTCTCTGTGTTTTCTCTGTGTTTCTCTGTGTTTTCTCTGTGTTTTCTCTGTGTTTTCTCTGTGTTTCTCTGTGTTTTCTCTGTGTTTCTCTGTGTTTTCTCTGTGTTTTCTCTGTGTTTCTCTGTGTTTTCTCTGTGTTTTCTCTGTGTTTTCTCTGTGTTTTCTCTGTGTTTTCTCTGTTTCTCTGTGTTTTCTCTGTGTTTTCTCTGTGTTTTCTCTGTGTTTTCTCTGTGTTTTCTCTGTGTTTCTCTGTGTTTTCTCTGTGTTTTCTCTGTGTTTCTCTGTGTTTTCTCTGTGTTTTCTCTGTGTTTTCTCTGTGTTTCTCTGTGTTTTCTCTGTGTTTCTCTGTGTTTTCTCTGTGTTTTCTCTGAGTTTCGGATCTGACTTACAGCATTAAAACTGTTTTGAAACCAGGCGAAAACATGATGATCAGGAGTAACAAACTGTTGACCTACATTTAACAGCCGCCTAAAACCAGAGGAAGTTCCATCACATTAGTCCAAAACTAGAACCAGGAAGACCATCACATTAGTCCAAAACTAGAACCAGGAAGACCATCACATTAGTCCAAAACTAGAACCAGGAAGACCATCACATTAGTCCAAAACTAGAACCAGGAAGTTCCATCACATTAGTCCAAAACTAGAACCAGGAAGTTCCATCACATTAGTCCAAAACTAGAACCAGGAAGTTCCATCACATTAGTCCAAAACTAGAACCAGGAAGACCATCACATTAGTCCAAAACTAGAACCAGGAAGTTCCATCACATTAGTCCAAAACTAGAACCAGGAAGTTCCATCACATTAGTCCAAAACTAGAACCAGGAAGTTCCATCACATTAGTCCAAAACTAGAACCAGGAAGACCATCACATTAGTCCAAAACTAGAACCAGGACGACCATCACATTAGTCCAAAACTAGAACCAGGAAGTTCCATCACATTAGTCCAAAACTAGAACCAGGAAGACCATCACATTAGTCCAAAACTAGAACCAGGAAGTTCCATCACATTAGTCCAAAACTAGAACGAGGAGGACCATCACATTAGTCCAAAACTAGAACCAGGAAGACCATCACATTAGTCCAAAACTAGAACCAGGAAGTGCCATCACATTGGTCCAAAACTAGAACCAGGAAGACCATCACATTAGTCCAAAACTAGAACCAGGAAGTTCCATCACATTAGTCCAAAACTAGAACGAGGAGGACCATCACATTAGTCCAAAACTAGAACCAGGAAGACCATCACATTAGTCCAAAACTAGAACCAGGAAGTGCCATCACATTGGTCCAAAACTAGAACCAGGAAGTGCCATCACATTAGTCCTGACTAGAACCAGGAAGTACCATCACATTAGTCCTGGTCTCAGGTCTCTGCACCTGTGGCTCAGAAAATAAACTTCTAGAAAATAGAAGCAGTTCAAAATACGTCTGTGACACATTAGTGGCCAACTCAGACTTTTTTTCTGTTTTCTTTCTGTTTCTATATAAAGTATATATCTAAAAGAGGGGACTGAAAGGCCTTGGATGGTTAAGGGTGAATTCCCATGCCCAAGAGATTTGTGTTGTTATTGTACTTCCTTGGACAAGTATTCCCATGCCCAAGTGATTGTTGTTGTTGTTGTACTTCTTTGGCCAAGTGAAAATGATCTGATAAAATAAAATAAAACATTTTTTTACCACCTGTCAAAACTTTAGGTTATCACATACTCAAATGGGAGTCTCCATAAGGGAATAAGACTACTTCATTATTTTTCTCCTTTTAAGAACAACTTTTTTTTTTGTTTGTTTATTATTATTATTATTATTATTATTTTTTTTTTTACACAGTTACTTTTCCTATTGTCAATGTCTGTTGTGCATGTGTGTGTGTGTTTTGTGTGTGTATGTGAGAGATTGTGTGCGTGGCTGCTTGAATGTTGTTGTGTGTGTGGGTGTTTGTGGTATGTCTGGGGCCTTCACTCTGACCATGCATTCTCGCCCATCATTCATGCTTTTGATACGTCACTAGATGTATAGTTCAGATAACGATACCTCATCTGATATTGAGGATGAAGATTTGAGCATGAACTCGCATAACTCTGATCAACGGATCAACTTCTCTGAAAATGTCAATTATAAATCACAAACCTACATGAATGAAATTGATCCAGACGGAAATGTCTTACTAAATTGCAACGAGTGTTTATATTATACTGATGTCACATTTGACAAAAAACTCACACAAGATAAAAATATGTCTCTTGTACATTTTAATAGCAGGAGTTTATGCTCAAATTTCGATGACATTCAAGGTTATCTGAAACAATTCAAATCACCTTTTAATATAATAGCTGTTTCAGAAACGTGGTTGAATGAAAATAACAATAGTGGTTTTGAAATGAATGGTTATGAAATGTTTTGCACAAACCGGCAGAACAAGAGAGGAGGAGGCGTGGCATTATATATTGATAAAAATATAAACTGTAAAATTGTAGAGAACATGTCTGTTGCAGTGGACGAAATTTTTGAATGCGTGACTGTAGAACTGGCAATGCCAAAAAAGAAGGCATTTATTGTTAGCTGTTTTTACAGAACACCAGGATCAGACCTGAAAACATTCAAGGAATGGATTGAAAAAACATTCATTAATAAAAAAAAAAATATATATTATTTGTGGTGATTTTAATATTAATCTACTAAATCCCAATAAACATAAATGCACAGAAGAATTCACAGATACAATGTTTTCCATGGGTCTGTACCCTTTGATTACAAGACCCACAAGAATCACAGCATCCAGTGCCACTTTGATTGACAATATATTCTGCAACATATTAGAGAAAGATATAACCAGTGGAGTTCTTGTAAATGATGTGAGCGACCATTTACCAGTTTTTATGTTATACAAGCTAAACTCTGAAATAACTAAACCTGTTAACACTGAATGTTTTCGCAGAGTCATCACTGAGCAATCAATACTAAATTTAAAGAACGATTTGGCAATACAAAAATGGGAATTTATCTATGAAATGTCAGACATTAACACAGCTTACAACTCCTTTCTTGACTTATTCATTACCTTATATGACAAACATTGTCCAATCAAAAAGTGCACACTAAGAGACTCCACAAAAACCCCATGGATAACCAAAGGGCTTTCAAACGCTTGTAAAAAGAAAAGTTATTTATATAGAAAATTTTTGAGACTAAGAACAAGTGAGACTGAATTACGTTATAAAATATATAAAAATAAACTAACCAGCATTTTGAGAGCAAGTAGGAGAGAATACTACACTAATTTATTAATTAAAAAGAGAAATGATATCAAGGGATTATGGAAAGTATTGAACACAATTATCGGTCGTGGTTCCGACAATTCTAGCTATCCTGAGTACTTTGTGGAGAATGACACAATGATAAGGAACAAGAAGACAATTGCCGACAGCTTCAACACGTTTTTTGTAAATGTAGGACCTGAACTGGCCAAAAAAATCCCATTAAGCGATGAACCATTGGAAGGATTAATTGACATAAATCTGAACTCAATGTTCCTCACTCCCGCTGATGAGAGAGAAGTCCTCAATGTTATTAATAAATGTAAGAACAAAACATCATGTGATATTCACGGCATTGATATGAGTATGGTACGTAACGTAGCTAAAGAAATTGTTAAACCTTTCACACACATCTGTAACTTGTCTTTTCAATTTGGACACTTTCCTTCCAAAATGAAAATGGCCAAAGTGATCCCAATTTTCAAAGCAGGAGACAAACATTGTTTCAAGCAATTACAGACCTGTCTCTCTTCTGCCGCAGTTTTCTAAAATATTAGAAAAACTGTTTGACATGAGACTTCGTCGATTCATTGAAAAACATAATCTACTCTCTGATTGTCAATACGGGTTCAGGCCAAACAGATCCACCTCACTTGCTCTGATTGACTTAGTGGAGGAAATAACGAATTGCATCGAAAAAAATAAATTTGTTTTAGGAATTTTCATTGATTTGCAAAAAGCTTTCGACACTATTGACCATCATATTTTAATTAATAAATTGGATAACTATGGTATTAGGGGATTGGCAAGAAAATGGCTGGAGAGCTATTTGAGGCAAAGAAAACAGATTGTACAAATTGACCAACATAAATCTGATTGTATGGATATAGTCTGTGGAGTACCACAAGGGTCAATATTAGGACCAACACTATTTATAATGTACTTAATGAACTATGTAATATTTCAAAAGTGATGAAATGTGTTCTCTTCGCGGACGACACAAATATTATTTGTTCAGGTGAGAACCTGGAGCAGTTGTTGTCCTCTGTAACTGTGGAACTGAAAAAATTAAAAACTTGGTTTAATAAAAATAAATTGTCACTTAACTTAAATAAGACTAAAATTATGCTATTTGGGAATCGTAAAAGTAACACACCGGTCAGGATAATTATTGATGATATATCTATTGAGAACGTGAAACAAAATGTGTTTTTAGGAGTGGTACTGGATGAAAAGATTTCGTGGAAACCACACATCAGCTACCTTCGAACAAAAGTGGCAAAATGTGTTGGAATGATGAAAAGATCCAGTCATTCACTGAACACTAATGCTCTACTTCTATTGTATCATTCCTTCATTCTATCATATCTTAATTACTGTGCTGAAGTTTGGGGAAACTGTTACCAGTCCCATTTACAACCTTTAATCTCCTTACAAAAAAAAGCCATTAGAAC